TATATATATTCATATATTGGCTATAAGACGAGCGGAAAGACGACCACGATGAGACACGCGAATAAATTTGGGATGACACTTAACCACTCGTAAACAGATGGCATTTTAGATGAGAAATGCCGCATCACAGCTGCCGTCCCAGACCTTATATCTGTCTATGTCGTGCACTCATTCATCCAGATCCAACTATTATCTGTTCTCCTTACAACTGTTATAAATATATGTTTATATATCAGGCAACATAAAATTTTGTAAATGTATGTATTGTATGTATTGCATTTCAAATCTTAATATTCTAAAAGAAGATGAGTGTATTGTAGATCTGGGAACCGAACGATTTTTTCGGTGGCCACTGACCGAACATCGTATCGATGGCCACTGATATTTGAAGCGTTGACGATTTCGGTCGGTGGCCACTGACGTAACTCTAACACACTGCGTTATTAGATTGAAAAAGTTATCAAAATACCATCACTAAACCATGATATAAACTTACAAGAAATAAACTTCAAAATGCCTCAAGATGTTTGAAATATATCAGAACGCATTAAATGAGCGTATCTCTAACTTCTACTCATTGACGACATTTCAATAACATTCTTTTGATAGCATTTTATTGAAGACTCAATAAACTGTTTATGTGTGTGTGTATTTGTGGGCATATTTTGCAGATAAGATACAATGCAATCTATAGCTATCACTGTGAAGCAACACAACATCACAAATCACAGCATGAAATAGAAGTCTGTTTCAATGTTTCAATAATTTTCATCTTTTCCACTCGCATCTTATGAAGAATGCCAAAACAAATATGATATGATGATACTACATGAACGAAATTAAGCAGCACTAGAAGGAACACAGACAAAAAATTTTGTTGTTTTCTCTTCTCGTTTGATGTAAGCACCAGCGAATATTCATAGATAAGAAGCAAACAAGAAAGAGATTGATAGCTACGAGCTGAAGCACATCAACACAAACTAGGTAAGGTACGGTAACATCTACTACGGTATCCAATAAGTATAATGTAACAGCACAAGCATAACGATAAGTTTTTCACTCTAACTGCCTAGCCCGTAGAAGCAGATAAGCATTCAGTGATCTCGCTCTTCATACTTGCTGATTGTTCTGCCGTTCCTCATGTTCTGATATGCGTTGGTTTTGTTCACTTTCAACTTCAGCTTTAACATACCAGTCAGTCACTTCAATTCAAGTCATGCAATAATCGATGCATGTGCACACTTAGGCGGACAGGGATTACTAATATAGGCAAGTCGGCAGGCGACAGGCTCGTATGCTCATTCACTCGCTCTGCTAGGCTCGATGATATGTTCTCTGCTGCTGCTGCTTCATAACACTGCGTCAAGCCGAACAATTGAATAAGTGCAAGTGAATATCAACGAACGAGATATACTTGGAATGTATGTATGTATATGAAACGTGACCAAGCATGAACTGTGCTTATAGCATAAAGTAAGCGCAATTCTCAGTCTAGCAAATTCATGATGCCAACCACATAAGACATTAATCAGTAAAATGCGACGTCGAACAACGACCGACACTAAACTAAACGAAGCCAACTCATACCGATACCGGTCCGCTGATAACTTGTCTAGATCCACTTGCTTGGAAGTGTGCACGTGAATTGGTACTGAATGACCGAACTAGATGTTATTGCTGAACGAACATATATCATTTAGACAAGTAGCAGTAGCAGGCGGATGGATGAATATATTTATAGATTCTACAATATATTTGCGAAAAACGTGTTCTGATTATGAGAAAGGGCTATAGGATTCGGCGAGAGAATTGCTGAAATTAGAATAGAATATTATGGAGAAATGATTCGTTGAATGAACCATTCTTTCGGTTATTTCAAAACTAGTCAGTAGTTATAAAGAAGAAAGCGGAGAAGGTAAGTTATTCTACGATTTGAAGAATAGTCTATTTGCATCCAGACTACCAAAAAGATCTGAAATAGCAGCCAAAAATGGATTAACAAATACACGAATACTACACAGTGGGTTGGGGGTGAAATCGACCTCAAAAGTTCTCGGGGGTAGAGGATAGGGTCGCGGGGCCCCGAAACCTCGCAAATGCTCAACGGCTCCTCGATGTCGAAGTCCTTGAGGGTAGAAGGTAAGAACGGGATCCCCGGAGAATTGAAAGTGTTTAGGAGTCCTCGAACCCTACTCTCGGGGCTCCCGAATCTCGAGGTTCCTCGACCCAATCCTAGTACAGTGTATGTGAAGAATCAAGTGCTGTTCTATTCGGAAAGAGGTACACAAAATGTTCTGTTATGCATTAGTTGTGTTTGTGTGTGTCGTACCCTTCGGCCACTTTAAATATTTCAATATGGCTTCTGTGCTTGCGGCTACGTTCAGTCATTGTTGCCATTCAAGTAACATGCAAGTGGTCTTACGACGGCATTCAGCATATTTCAGCGACAGTGAGAATGATTGTGAAGTGAACTGCGAGCAGTACTACCAAAAGCAGCAACAATATCGATGCCAAGAAATCGTATGAATAAATGAGAAATATTCTAGCATATAAGCACGCCCTAAACAGGAAAAAACGTTCAACCACAATTGACTGATTTCCCTGAGGCCCTTGCCACAGTGCAACCCTAAGGTTGCCATGACCAGGCAGCCAAAGGCAGTCCAACAGAGGAGCAAAGCGCAGCAGAGACAACGATAAGTCTCAGTGGTGATGATGACGCCTCAAGCCAAATAAATCAATCCGGCAAGCTGAACACAACAACACATCCATTCAATCAATCAACGAAATTATCAGAAAGCTTCTTTCGAACATCACTTATCGTTAGAAAAAAGACATAGAACAACAAATAATAGCAACCATAAAACATTGATGTGCTGACTTATGCAAATATGTGCAAGAAATTACCCATAAATTCGCATATTGATTATAGCACATAAATTTTATTCAATTGCGCATTTATTCATCTGTTTGGTTATGATCAAAAGCACGAAAAACACTGTCATTGAATCAAATGCAAATTGCAAGCTACTTCTGAGAAGCGTCACTTGTGAAGGAGATACGAACGACCGTCACAGTAATCATTCATGCCCTCTGTCAATATGTCTGTTACGAATGCAATTATCTATCTGAGCGCTTAAGCACATGATACAACTGCTAACTTACCATAAATATGACACGCACATGCACATACCACACACACACATACTATAATCATAGAAAGGAATAAATGATGAAGAATACGATATATCTAAATACAGTATCACTCCTAAACTTTTATTGTTGTTGCTTCGACTGCTCTCAATTTCTGTTTGATCGATGAAAAGTTTTTCTCCCACGAAACAACTGTAACATCTTTGAATACCGTATGTACATATACAGATAACAGGAGACAATCTTAAATTTGCTGCCGGTATCTATTGGTTACTATTTAATGCATACCTATTTCTTATTTTTGAATAACAATTATAATGTTGTGATATGCTTAAGCCATCTTAGGATAGAACAAACTTAACAAAAGTCATGCAAGGGACAGAAAGGAGATCGATATACAACACAAATATGTATCGCCACCTTCTCATCAAATCCATTCTTGCATCAATTCCAAAAGATTATCACAGGTTGATCGACGGTTTTATTAGGGCTGCTGCTAGGCCTTTGTGTTCAGCTAAAATTGCATACACCCTCTGGCAAATCCTTCCAACTTTGCCAAAAAAACCGATGCATATACCTCATGCAAGATCGGCTTCTCGAATGACACAGCCAGAACGTATAAATTATGTGTGATCGAACAAGGCTACAATACTTTAGAATAATGTTTTTCGTATCACACTCGTACTAGCGTCAAGTTAAGCACTCTGACGTAACCAAATTTTGCAGTTTCTCAGCAGCATGAAACATTGATTATTTGAAGCATTCATCTGCCACTTTTCAACGTTATTCTTCCCCTGCAAGTCCCTTAATCTTCTTCCTCTCCATCCACATACATTAACCAATCAATCAGCCATTAGGCTTAAGGCTCGTTGAGGCGCTCTCAACGAGTGAGTTTAGTCGTACTCTTGTTCTCTCCATCTATGCTCAGAAGCATTAGCTTGTCTCTGGGCATCATCGATTATTGCGTCTAGATACGACGAGCATAACTAGATGTATGCGTGGTGCGTAGATGTAGGTATGCATATGCAAGCCTAGTGTCATGGAATTCTTCCATATCTGTCTGCCTCAGCAACCTGAAACTTGACGACATTTTGGCTGCTCGTGTGTCTGAATCGCCACCCTCTCATCCGATCCGTTCCTCTCATCCATCCAGTTATCTGCAATCGTTCCTTGTCTGCATTCATGCCGAGAAGGGTATCTATTGATACTGCCACAAGACCAATTGATTGCGCACAATTTTCTTACTGCTTCCCTTCGCTGCTCTCTATTTTTCCAATCCATTCCAGTTTCGAAAAGAAAGCAAACCAAACAGCAAATGAACAAATGCATCGAAAAAAAGAGACCCCTTTTCTAAAATTACTAACCCCATTTTAATTAAGTAAATATCAGCAAGATGATATGAACAGAGGGTAATAAGAGCGATCATATGATAAACGGAATAACGAGTGGATTCTGCCGATAGAAAGTGTTAATGAGTGAGATAATCTGATAGAATAATGCAACTTCCATCAATCGTCAAGCAATATTCGTCGATTTACATCATCAGTTATCGGTCACAATTCCATTTCTGCCTTTAACAACGCAAACCCAACCGCCATACACGGCAAGTCACCTGTTGAACAAGAGGAATGCAAAGAAATTGGAATAAATTATGAACGTAACTACCATTCAGTCAGTCAAACGTTTATTACAATACATCGTTCGGCATCATCATAATAATCACACTTCATCGCAAAACGTAAACTCATGATGCTTATCATTATTCAACGTTGACAGTACACAATGGGAGCACTACATTCAAACAATTTATGCCAATGTTTATAATTTTTCAAAATTTCACTCTTAATATGATATGCGCTCCATTTAAAATGATACAAACTTAAATCAAATAATCTATTCGAAGATTCCACTCAAAATCACCAGCATTCGGCTAGCAGAAGACGTCTCATTGAATTTTTATTATTACCTCTTTTGTAAAGTTGCATAAAATAAAGTTTCTTTTTTTTTCAAACAGACTCAAACAGAGATAAATTTATGATGAGTGTGAATGACAAGCATCAATAAGACACCTCAACAAATCGTTTGTTTGCTAACGAACGAAACAACACAGTGCATCATACCCTGTATTCACATTCGCAATTCACTGTCTCCGTTAAAGATATTTACACGTGAACCAACAGTGTTAATAAGACCCTTATTGTAAGAAACATTCAGACGCTTTCTTTTTAATTTTATAAACGGAACCGAAGAAAAAACGACTTCGTTTCGAAGAGTGCCAGCCAACCAAAGGTTGCAGCTTCTCTTGGCTTAATGTCGCATCAATAGAAATGCGCAAATGAATCGAGCGCGAAAGAAACAAATGAAAAATTTTTGCAATGTTTCAAATTGGTATGATAACGATGCTGACCGCAAAGTGATATTATATTACAGATTGATAGAGAAGTGAGACATACAAATGAGAAACAAACTGGATAAATTAACAAAAAACAATATGAAAATGAAACAAATTGTGAGTCAATTTATAAACAGTAAGTTATTATTTATTGGTATATCTATAGATATACATTTAATACACAAATGCAAGGCCAAATAAATTAGTTTGCAAAACAGATCTACTTTCAAAAAATATAATGCACTTTTGAGCATCTTTTCATCAATCACATCCTTCATTTCAGTATTCACTTCGTAACTACTTCATATCATCGTTATTACTTACAGTTAGCTATTGCATAATAGGTTTGGGCTCGGTGGAAATGCTCAACACTGGGTTGAAAAGTACCTAAAAATGTGCACCGACCACCCAAATCGCTTTCAACAACTACATACGTTGTTTTAAGTGAGCACAACACAACACTAACTACCACTACCTCATTTAAACTGAATAATAATGAACTGACAAACGAATAAATGAATGATTACATTTAGTATAATTGCTATGAACAAGTACAAACTGATCACCTGGTATGTTGATAAGCGAAAGTACAAAGACAAGTAGTGCAAATATAACGAATAACACTGCTCATAGTTGAATTGTATCAATAGATCTGAATGAATCGAATCGGATCAGCGACAGAAGATAGTGATGAAGAGCGAGTGCATTCATTATTTGAAGTTCGTAGGTGAATGTGCACAATCACAGTTCGAAAGCATCATCTGAATGTGCATCTGAGAAATAGAAGAGATCTGAGGAAGACGGCATCGAATTCAACAACGCCGTCAATCGTGAACAGCCATCCTCTTCGTTGCTTGCACGGTTCACCTCAAACATTACTTTTGTAAGATGAGCAAACCAAACAGAATACTCAAATTCACATTAATGAATGAAAGTGACTAACCCCAAGTCGCTGAAGAGTTGCTGAGAAACGATCCACTTCATCGGGTGATCTCAGCAAGATCCATTCAAGAATCTTCTCGTTCTCATTCCTGATCACACATGCGTAACGTTCATTCGCCAACACACCAATCACCGAATGAATATTGCCAAGTCTAATTCGTGTCAGAAGACGCATAAAGCCATCAACAACGAAATTCAAACCCTCTTGTACTAACAATATTGAATCTGCACTTATCATTGCTATGCACGCCACTGCTTCATCGTCCATATCCTAGAACACTGACCACTGATGTACTCGCATATTCACATCATTTTGACGTACCGTAGTGGATAATGCAAAGTTGAGAAGTGACACCCATTTACGGAGGTCATCTGCACTCGCACAGATCAGTTCATATTTATCACCATTCGTGAATTCAATTTGAAACATGTGCGGTGATTGTTCACACCCTTTCAATTCCAAAACGTTCGATACCATTTCCCTGCAAGTTTTCAATTCGTTATCTAGTCAACAATACTTCTATCAAATGAACAATCAACTAACTGTATAGCAATCACTCGTTCACCAACTTTACACGTCGAATCCTCGAACTGATAAAGTTTTTTGCCATTCAACACAAAGAAACTCTGACGAAAATCATTCGTTGAATAATGCGATGGCAGCCATGCGTTCGACTTAATCATCTTATGGTATAAGAATCCACTACGTTGTGCCACGTTCTCAGCACCCATCATCAACCTATTCGATGAATCGATGCGCGTTTGTCGCCATAACGCCAAACAGTAACACTCCAGCTTCGGTTCCTCCTGAATTCATTCTCTTTTTTGATTCTGAGACGATATTCTACCTCATAGATATGTAGTAAAAGTATGTAGGCATGCAAATGTGTCCATATAGGGACGAGATAAACCATCAGATGATGAATGAATGAATGAATGAACAGCTAAATCTGAGTGTGCCGGACGAAAGAGGAAACTTTGTAAAACGATCCACACCAATATCATCATTCTTGTCTTTTGAAAATGATTGTGAGTTTGACGATGAGGAGCATGAAAGGAACAGTTAAAAGAATAATTACTGATCCAGTTACTACTGCGTCACAATTAGCCTTCAAGCTGCAGTAAGTGAACATCAAGCGATCAACATGTTATACGTCAGCAAACAACAACTAACCAAATTCAGTTGTTTTGCGATGAATTTAATAGCAATTGCGCGTTGCGGAGTACGATCCGTATAAACAGCCAACTGAAGTGGTGAAGTTTCCTGTTCACCATCCAACTGCAACTCATTCATCAACCTCAAATAGTGTTGCTGTTGCATCTGTTTATTGAACGCCATACGAATCGCTTCAACCATGGCCATGCCAAGTTGTCTGCATGCTGTACACACTTCCATTACACGTCCATCTAATTTCACACCATCACCATCCTCCATGAATGCGTCTTTTCGAATGTGCAAATAGAGCACTTCATAATCAACACCCACCTGAACATCAGTTTTAATCAGTCATTTTCGCATTTCTTTAATACCCCTTCATTTTCTTTTACTGTGCTTATGATCAGTATTTTTCATTTGAATAATTCTCTACTCCAACTTTTAAACCCGACGTGAAATAAGATAAATTAACGAAGTGAGCACATACCGCAATAAAATCAATATCAGTTAGTGATAAATATGCACATGTGATATATGTTTTTCTGGCAGATACTAAATTACACTGTAACGAAAGCAGATAGATGGCTCGATCGGAAAGTACAAAGAAGCGATGATCCGGTTGACCGGTGGCGAAATGAACGTAAACCTGAAATTAGAGGATGGAATTAGATGAGTGGGTTTCATAGCATATCTCTGAATGCATACTTGGTAGAACTTGAGAAATTTCTCGATTTCAGCTCTGAACACTTTGATATTCAAACCGACCACTTCGCCCATATCGAGTCTGAAAGCAATCATAGTGAACAACGATTTGCAATCAAAATAATGTGCAGTGATAAGAAACAAAACGGACTTTATTTCACCAAATGGTGGAAATTCATGAGGTGATGTTGAGGTGTGTGCTGAGTGTTGTTTGCTGGATAACGGCTCTTGTTGGTGCTCTTCAAATAACTTCGTTTCGCATTCTCGAGCTGCTGCCATCAGTTTCGCCTTCGATAAACTATTCTGTAGGGCAACATCAAACGGATTGCTCGACGATACGGATTGGCGTACGCCTGCTGGCATCTCTCGTTTGACATTCACATCACCTCTGATCTCTGTTGTGTGACGCTGATCGAGATGAGCAGAATGTTGTAAAGCACTAGTATTCTGCTGTTGATTCTGATGATGGAGCACGCTCGATGACGACGACGACAAAGATGATACAGGCTGTCCTGGTGGATTTAAGATTGGCGCACTATTTAGAGAAACATTGCTCGAAGGATGACCGCTAAAAGTATTCGGATGCTGATCATTTGCAAACGAATAGAACGGCACTAAAGTTGAGGCAGATGAAGTTATCTGAAGATTAGACGGCGACAGAATATCATTAGGTTGTTGGTTGGCGATATTGCCGTTAGGTGCTGTTGTTTTTGATGGCATGCTGCTTAGAGTTGTCGTTGAAGCGGTCGTTTGAGGAAGAGCCGACGTTGAGTTTAGTGTCGCATGATGGCTGTAGTTGTTGGACAAAAGCGGTAATGAGCCACATGGCACCAGGCCCCGTTCGCCACGATGCAATATTTGATCGAATACGTAATCCTTAAATCCATTTCGGCTATTATCACCATTATATCTCTTTTGGAAGAAACAAAGAAGTGAGTAAATGAATAAACTCACATAATCTTTAGCAGACGAAATGAACGGTGAACTACTCATTAAGGGTGTTGTTTCAATAAAATCAGGTGATAATGGAATATCTAAATTGGTTGCAGTTGAAGTTTGATTGGCTGATGACGGGGTTGTAGTATTATAGCAGGTTGCTGAACGACGTCTACGTGTTGAGGATAGTCGAGCGCCTCGGGTAACATTTGCTGATGGTGACGATGATAGCGGTGAAGAAGCTCGAACTGTAGCTGCTCCAACTCCAACTCCATTCGCTGCTGAAGATACGGCTGAAGTCTAATGAATCGACAATTGAGCTTTCTTTCTCTTGATCAAAAAAAACAAACTCTAGCAATCTTTACCTTAGAAAGGAAGTGTGAAATTGGGTAGAGACTTTAGCCTGTTACAGCTATATATTGTTATCAGTTCAATGATCAAATAACACAGCAATGAAACAAGTCATTTTATTACTTACCAAAAGCTGTTGACTGTTCTTGTGAAGCAGATTTTGAATGTTGACGCATAGTGGTTGATGAGGATGATGATGATGACGCTAAACCGGAATGCGATTTGATCAAAGTCTGACTTTGTTCCGATGACAGTCGTTTCTGATGATGCACCATTCGTGCCGTTGTCGATGATCCATCGCTTGAAAAAATGTCCGCTGAACGTATTTCAGCTACTGGTACATCAGCAGCAGCAGCATTTCTTGTGCTTAAACCACCACCAGCAGCACCGACCGATGCCTTAAAACAAAACAAACCAAATTGCGCTTATTCATTCGTAGTCAATATGATGAACAGTCGGTTGTGTCCAATGAACGATTAGGAAGATTACCGAAAAAAAGAATCGCACATCACATAGTTCCAAAAAGTTCTTCGCTAATCTCTTTGCCAACACTCGATTCGCAATCGCCGCATTACGACTGTAATGCTTCAGTACAATTTTCCAATTCAGCACAAACGACTGAAACCCGAATATGAATAATATAAAATTGAATGAAATGAAATTGAAGGCATTAAAAATGAGATAGATTCCAACGCTCAACTCATATTACACAACGATACGTGCTCTTTTCTACTATTCTGTGTGTCCGTCTGTTCCATGCAAATGAACCAAATCCACTTAATAAACATTCGTAAAACCTCCTCATAAAATGTTAAGAATCGAATTTTCTCGTTCCCCACTAAAGACATAACAAATCAAAAGCCAAATGATATAAGCTAAACCCCTCGATAACGCTGTTCTGCGGTGAAGGTGTTGATACAATGTGACCAAAAGACTACTTGTCTGGTTTGCAATTCTACATGCAATCAAAAATGAACACCAATCAAATAAAGTGTACCTACCTCAAAAACCGAACACATGCATTGTTTATTCAAACAATCCTGTATCCAAGCTACACCGAATTCGCGTTCACTACGTGGACGCCATTCCTCTTTCAAGCATTCGCATTCATTCTTGGTCATGAATTCCTTCGTAAAACGCCAGTATAAGCGTTCACCTCGCAAACATCTATATCAAATTTGACTGAATAATCATTTCGCTAATTATCAACAACAATAATTGGTGTAAACGAAACACACCCGCTTGACATGAAACGGTCAATAGCAACCACTAAATTCCTGGCTTGTTCGCATGTTGAGTCGAGTCCTGCGGTTGGTGCTGCTACGCGATAGTGGTGCTGCATTTGAGACGAGCACTCCAGTTGCTTTTTCCATTCAGAGGCGCATTCCCGAATTGCTTTGACAATTGCTGATTCGAGAAATTTATGATGATCGTGTACACATGCTGCATTTGCTGGCCAGTTCACTATCCCAGATCCTGTTGCTCCATATGAGGACAAAGGTGATGAGGACGTGCTTGTATTAGGCGTTGATGCGACTGATGTCGTTTTGATGCTTGAAGAGTTCGTACTGCCAATCGTCGTCGTGGGCGTTTCCACATCATTGCTATGGGACGCAGCAGTGAATTTATTGCTAATGACATTACCAACTGGTGAAAATGATAGCATAATACCATTCAATCCCTTTTGCTAGTCCTCCTTTTTACTCGTTTATTCAACTGAAAATAATAATTACAGAATAATAACAACAATAATATTCAACAATAATAACTCACCTTCAAAACAAGCGATCAGTCAATCAATCGCCCTCGCACTTGCCGTTTCTAGTTAGAGCTGCGTTCAACACCACAGTACACCAGTAACTGAAATCAGTGACTGAACGAATGAAGAGTAATAAAATTCAAATAGAAGACAGCGGTTTCAGTCCGCAATGTGCATCATTAATAGTCAAATGAGGGCAACACAAAATAATCCACTAATAGACCAGTGTCGACACCATCACTCAACCACCAGCAAAAAGCCTTACCCAATCACCACATCACATTCAGCTGAACCAATCAGCCAAACCTCATCACAGTGATACTCATTTGAATCATTACATCTATCAGTCATACTACCTTCATAATCCATCTGTCATTAGCATTCCATGATGCCTAATTTGGAAAATATTCACCCAACTCCTGCTCTAGCCCTGCATTTCCAAATTTTCGGCACCGGTTACGTGTCTCTAAAAGTTTGGCTCCACTTCCGCGTTTTCAAAATTTTCAACTCTGCCTCCATCGCCGTATTTTTTCAGAACTTCGGCTGCATCTTCAGCCCTGAAACTTCCTCTGTCCCACTCCAGCTCCGGCGCAATGCGCACTCGGAACTAAACTATCGTATACGTCTCAGCTCCGACTATAGAATGTTGACAATATTTTTTTTTTAAGAATCAAGAAAAACTTTGTTTGGCTCCAGAGCTCAAGCGTTCCCTCCCACTGAAATTTTCATCAATTTCCAAAACGTATGAAATGATCACCATTATCACTTACTATATATTGCTACCATTATCAATAAGCAATTATTTGCTCATGAGCACAGATCATTATGAGCGATATGCACAGCTGTTGAAGTGACTCGCTCGTTCGGTGTCAAGAATACTCTCGCCAACGCTAATGTGGTACAATCACGCGTGACTTATATTTGATGTTTTTTGATTTTGACAAGTCTAGTTTCTATGAGACAAATAGATAGATAAAGGCAATATTCAAGCAGATTTTTGGACCACGTTCAGAAAATTTTACCAACATACCAACACACTCTAACTGCTGAAAGGAATGAGATGAACGATCTCTTTGATTCAATGAATCTCGTCATGTTACTGCAACCGCACGAGTGTTATCGTGGATCGGTGATCAGCGAGATTGGCTTTGTTGGTCGATCGAAGGGTAACATGTAAAAATGTTGGTAATATTGATATGGTTATGAAAACCATCAAGTGCATTTTCATAAACGAACGCAATAACAAAAAGCAGCAAACAGTTAAATGCGACAGATGATAAGTCAACGACAAGACCATTCTCTTGGCTCATTATTCATTCGAAATGAAGAACAAAAACATGAAGACGCAATGAATGAATGACAAATGAAAATATCACGAACATTTTCTTCTTTTGACACATAATACGAATAAATGTAAATGAGAAATTAAACTGTGTTATTCCACTCGTAATCGAATCAATCAATCGATCAATCATTTTCGATTATCATTCATACTTATAAAAACACAATAAAAAGGCCGTTGATATAGGCATAGATGAGCGGTGAACTGGCTAAGTAGGCCGTTGATATAGGCATAGATGAGCGGTGAACTGGCTATCATGTCAATAGTTTCGGAATAAAACATTTCAAATGCCTATTTTTGGTAGATAGCGACTATCCCAAATTTTCAGTTTCATCGGTTCAAAAAATTCATAACCAACATCTATCCGAAAACATCGGCTGACCTAAAGAACCCTTGCTAACTGCTTTTTGTTCGTTTTCCTCTCAACAAATGGGACATATATTTCATCGAATCATTACTCAACAAATCAGCAATAACTCAACAAATTATGGTAATAATAACAATAATAATAATAATAATAATAATAATAATAATAATAATAATAATCAAACCATACCACATCGTTGATCAATAATAATAATAAAGGTTTTAAAAACCAGAACAAATAACACAAACGCATCGACACAACTTACAAAAAGTAGCAAATTGAACAAACGAATACAGTTTCACATGCTTTCTAGATGTCTTTTTGAAGACGATTATTCTACAAGAAAACACGATATATAACAAAACTAACTCATCATTGAAACGCATAACAATAATATGAGAATGATAGATACAAAATTAATGGTCGAAATCATATAAAAGCACACTCAGACAAACACACGCAAAAAACAACAAGTCAACACAATAATAAAAACAACAGAAATAAAATAAATAACACTTCATAGAAAGAAAAGTTTTACCAGAAGCTTTTGTTGTTGGCATACTAATAGGTAGGGCAAAGAACTGCTGTAGTATCAAACCGATGGATGGATCGATGGGAAGTTCATAGAAGTTTTTAGGTAGAAAATCCTTCATGAATTTAAATATGCAGAACTGTTCAAGTTGTTTGAAGAAAAGTTTGTGTTTAAAGAATGTAACCGATTCACAAACAGAAACGATATGGTGGTTGGCTAGGAAAGAAGAAGAGATTAGTGAATAGGTACAGATAAAACCGACCGTAACATAATTTGATCAAGTATCGTTCACATAAATGACCACTTAAATGCAACTCTTTAAGTGAGGACGTAACATCAATGACAGTAATACAATCAAATCACTATACGCCAATCACACACACTCATCTCAATATAATCACATGACAATAACGAAAACACCCATCGTTTCGCAACTCACTCGAAACGAACGAAACACATTCGACGGAAGATTAAGACAGACACAGAAATATGGATGGATTTGTGACGTGGTAATATGAAGTCAAAGATATAGCTTTTAAAGTGACTATAATTGCATTGAACGACGTTCAATTTAGCATACACTATCAAAAATGAAATATTGATTAGATACAGTGGAGCAGTAGGTAGAAGATATGAAATTACGCGAATAATAATAAGGGTAACGAATTACTTAGAATCAATCGGTCAGCACTTAGAGAAGGAAAGGATTGTTGAAAGGTTGTTGTTGCGCATTGGTAGTATTGTTGTAGAAGTTATTGTTCGATAGCATACTGGCAGTAGTTGCGGTCGGGAATTGTTGCAGAGTTGGGTGGTGTTGTTGTGAGCTGCTCATGAGCTCGTTCAGAGTGCGCGACGTTTGTGCAGACGACGTGGATCCCATAAACGGATTGTTCGCAGTGCTCGAGAGTGAACCTGCTGATGAGGAACCGACCAAGAATGGATTATTCACTGCAATAATTCTCATTATTCTGCTGATGTGCTCATTTGCACGATTCATAATCATTCACTGAATCACTTAAAAGAATCACAACAAATACAATAACTAACAACCAACCAGTTTTGGTGTTCTGTGCTCCAGCACCTAGACCAGCAGCAGCACTCGTTGCTGTACCCATCAAATTGTCTAAATTGACCAACGCCGAATTCTCACCCAAGAAACTCTCCGGTGTTTTTGTGTTCAGTCTTTGTTTTGCAGACGAATCACCGTTAACGCCATCGTCTGCCTGTGTGGTTGATGAAGCGGTCGTCGTACTGGCAGCTGTCAGTAAATCTGACGATGATGACGACTGCGTCACATCTGTTGGCTGTAGTAAACGTGTTGGTTGCAAAGAAGCGGCAGCTGGTGGAGCATTCCACGGATCATTGGTCACTGGACATTCGGCTGTTGTTGATGAAGGTGTTGAATCCAAAGTGATCGACGATGGAGCCCATGGATCGACTGGTTGTGACTGGGCAGTGACAGCATGATTTAATGATAAATTCGGATACATTGAAGAGGAGCCAACTGCTGCCGCTGCTAAAATTATTCTTTCTTTGTTCCATTGAAAAAGGCAATTTCTAGCTTCATTTCCAACAATGTGAATTTTTAATCAAATCATCCACTGCAAATCATCCTCATTTTTCACTTTAGGCAATCAGTTATCAGTTTTATTCGCAACTGAAGCAGATAACCGACCGTTGGTATTGGAAGGTGACGGTGCCCATGGATCAACAACGGGCCCACCCCATGGATTCGGCATTGACTGCTCGACCGGTTGACCGACACCCAACGATAAAAGATCATCGATGGCACTTTGCGAGAGCGTCGACCCGCTAACCATCGCATTCTGCGGAGCTGATTCCATTCGTTCTATTTCACGACGACTCTCATTTATGGCCATCTGAAAGAAACAGCTCAACCTTCCAACTCCATCAAAAAAAAAACAACTGATGAACTGCTGCTGCTATAAGTATGTCCTGCGAATTTTACGCCACGCAATGAGCAAATCCAATTAAATTCTGAATTGATTTCATGGTTGCTGAGTGAAGCAATAAGCGATGAATAAAACAAACCTGGAGGCCAATATCATCTTTCTTCCTTAATTCCTCCTCTTTTTCGTTTTCTTCTTTCGATAATGCCAGCGCTATTTGCAGTTGCATTTCTTCTTCACCCGCACTTGACGGTCTCGCATCTTCTAATTCAGATTCTAAACTTATTTATACACGAACATCTGAACATGTTTTCATCGAAAAGACCGCATCGAAAAGATCGCTGAGCATCATTCTACGAATACATAACGACGAACCTGCTTCCGTTCTGCGTATATTCCGCAAATTACTAGCGTCTGAAGAGATGGCCGACCCAGACATGAATTTCTTACGAGTCATCAGAAATTTGGTTCGTTCATTCTTTAAACGCTCTTCATCGTACAATAAAGTCACCATTTGTTTGGCTTTCTCACGCACATTTATACCCTGATCGCGATTCTCTTCAATATGTTGAAAATCTTTTAACGTTTCGATTGAATAGATATTCTCACGACACTGTTGCGCCACCTTTTCACTACCACACTGCAAATAATATCGATAACAAGCAGATGCGTAATAATGATCATAACAACAACAACAACAATCAATTACCTTAATCAAATAATCCAATAAAACAAGACTTTTATAAACATGTCGCCAATTTTTGCCGTGATCATTCAGTCGTTTCCATAACATTGACATAATCTCAGTGAATGACATCGGGTTATGTGTTAGATCGGCTATTTCGGACATAAGCGCCGTGGATGGACCCCACGGGTCATTACTGCAGTTTACAGTTTATCATTATTTTCAACCCAACAAAGTGGCTTGTTACCATCAAACTATGTAATAATAACCGACTGTATCAATTTCATTGCCAATCAGCAGTAACGTTCAATAATTATTGCAGAAAAAGTGTCGAAAAATGATGTGCAAAATAACAAATCAGTGAATCGAACAACTGAAACTAAAACATACCTAGTTGCCTCGCGAACTTTCACTTGGGCATCTGAGAAATTATACGCGACATTTTTCACTTGTCGTCGTATTGTTGAGATAGACATTATTTATAAAAATTAAATATATTAATAAGTTTGTGTATGTATAAATATGTTTATATACTTTGGTATGAGGAAGCCTGAAGATAGTGTAATAAGAAGCAGCAGCTGAAACTCACAACATCATATGAATATCAATTCGCGAGGAAAAGAAAGAAATCATCCAACGGTGAAAGTTATGAATTTTCTTCGATACACTTCGATAAAATAAACCAAATAAAGATCATAGGCACGATGTCACACCATTTATTATTGATTGTAATCGTCAGTTTTGCAAGAAGAAACACATGTAAAGAAAGTTTCTCCAATGTGTTCAATGAAAACAGCAAAAGATGTGCAACAGAATATTCCTTCAAACATAAATAAAACGATGATTCCGTACGGCTCTCATACAGGTGCTGCACACATATGACTTAATGTTATCATATGATGAATAGTAATTCGAGCGTAACAACTCTGCGTAAGATCGCTCGTTTGTGAAAGTGATTTAAATCGCCTGCATTCATCACAAACAATAATGCATCACTCAAAATGCACGATGGTTTCTTTCATTCTTCTAGGAAGGAAGGAGTTAATCCAGAACTTAACTCTGTTCATCAAAACTCAAAAAAAAAAATCCATTCGCTTTTTCACTGCAATCCATCATGAACATAGTCCAACCGTCCGTCCACTTGGGCTGAACATCGAGTTTCAGCTCTCCTTCAAATTTACCCACAACTCAGGAATGAACAGCAGCCTATGACTGACAGAAAACCCAGAACCGAGTAGAAATGAAATCCACGTGTGAGGTGTTGTTGCTTTTCCAAATCTTCAATAATTACACGATATCCGATCTTAGGTATGGTACGAGCGATTCGATCCATTGTCACTGATCGCTTTGTCCAACACGACATTTTATGCACACATTCAAACTAGACAGACCTCGTTCACTAGGAATGAATTACCAACGAGCGATCTCCAGTTGAGTGCAGTCCATACAACAGGCTATTGCTGATTGGAATATAAGTGATAAAAAAGCTGGATGCATGAAAAGGACACTCAATAAGAAAAATAACAACAACGATAATAACAATACTGATAACAACCACCAACCGGCTGACTGATAAAACATAATATTGCAAATTTATACTGCGACGAAGAAACGCATGAAGATGAGAACGAGCATATGATAATGATAAAAAATACGATATGATATAACAACGATGCGACAAAATGATGGCAAACGCGTATGCACATCATTCATATGGCTTTAGCAGCGACCAGCGAGGGTGTGTGTAGTGTGCAAGAGCTAGAATCCATTAATTAATTAATCAATATCAGGAGAAAAGTCGAATGACAAGATTCATTATTGCTGAAGAGATGGGACGGCAAGAGGCGCAAGACGGGTTTCGTTCGTTAATTTCTTTCATCTCAGACTTGGTATTTATTGATTACTGTTCATTGATTGAATGGTTGGTTGTCATAGAATGCGTGTGATGATTCCGAATAAGAGAACATTGTCCGTGAAACGAGTTTTGCCGTGTGTAATGAAGATAGATGGATATAGGTGAGCAACAACAGTAACTGATTTTGTGCATGTTCGATTGATACTGATAGTAAGCAAATTCGAGAAGAAAGTGACAGACAATCCGTTTGAACATCATCAATATAGTGAATAATCAGTCATTGCCACTTTCACCGTTTCCTAACGGCGATCATTCATTCAAATATCATCTCATTTAACATTAAGCACATAATCAACACCAGTTACCCTTATCAACCTTCTGTTCACTTCTGATGGTGATACGTGACGGTAATGGAAATGAAATATGATTAGCAAGTAGCGTTCTTTATTTTATGCTGTCTGCTTTATCACGCGATAGCTCTTAATTGTAGCTGAAAAAAAAACATATGAAACCGTTACTTAGAAGTGAATTGGGAATAAAAGTTGATCGTCTAGAGACGGGAAGGGGAAATGATAATAATAATAATAACAGTACTGCTTGCCGAGTATTGCGAATGTTCGACAGAACAGACAGACAAACGAACGAGTGAAGTTGAAAGTTGTTCTCGTGAAGAACAGAGTGTGATAAAGCAGAATTACTACTACAAATTCTATTACAAATGAATTATGAATTCTACTACAAAATTTTCTACTAAATGAATTCTACGGAATCAGTGTGAAGAAATGTCAAAGTCATTGCGCATGCATCGAAATATTGAGTTGAATCATGGTGATTCACTCAATAACGGTGGATCGATTGCGAACGAGGATCAGTAGTCAATCGAACGAGGATGCGACGAGGATCAACAGTCAATCGATCCATTCAATGGACCGAACTTATCCGATGGCGATGATCATCAGAGGACGGAAATGGCGGATATTGGACCAAATGGCGGCGACATAGAGGTGCAAAGCAATGGTCATGCAGAAGTTCATCAACAACTTCGTCGATCAAAGCGTGCGACCAAACCCCCAATCGACTCGGTTATTGAAGAACTCGGGGGAGGTGTTGTGATATGATCTAATATCAATGGGTGATATGAATTGTGATATTCGTTGTAATTGATCTTTATGTTTGATCGGTATATAAGCAGCAACTGTATATAAACAGAGCGTTTTGAAGTAGAATTCATTCCGTGTAATTTTCATTGTATCGTCTATTAGTTGGTTTTTTTTAAACGTCTAATACAACTGTGGACTCTACAACAAAAGTAAAAGTTTTATCAGTAAAGAATGAACAGACCTATGATTAATCTCTACGGGAAAGTATATCGTTAAACGATAACAAAATAATTCAGTGAAGATAAAACCAAATTCATGCACGTAGCAATCAAATAACGCATCTACATACCGCATTATATGATAGCTAATAACAATACAATACTACAATTATTGATCACGAAACAACGTACTGAATAAAATGATTTCAGCACTATCATTTTCAGGTAAATTCAAGAAGAGAACAATGAGAAAACTATTCAATTTTGAACATTCATTGATTTATAACTATAATATTTGAATTCGTCCACGAACAATTTAGTATTCATTTGACGACATGAAAATTTTCAACGGGAAAATGAAATAAATAATTAAATATTCTGCAATGAATACACAAAATATAATATTCAGTTGAAAAAATCGATTCAATAAATGCGCTATACATACAATGAAAAGTTGATATATCACAGAACTGTAAAGAAATACATAAATCAATCTGACGAGGTGTACAATTAGTATATGAAAGTTAAGTATTCCTGTGAAATTGTTCGTTTGTTAAATAGCTCATGAACATAGAACACATCAAAATCAGGCAATATTTTAAATTATGAGGTTATTATTCATTTGTCTTGAGATAACAACATCAAACAGTAATATTTAAAACAAAAAAATGTTGATGCAAGAGCAATAAAGTTGAATAGTAATAATAACAATCGAAATAATGGTAAATTATCCTAAAAAATATCAAATACAAACATCAGAACTCTTTACTTCAAACAAGTAAAACTCAACGAGTATTTCTATAAAGGAGTGTGCATGAACAAAGAATAAATTTTCATCTGGTCTATTCTAAGAAATGAATTTTGCATAAACACTCAAAATTTATTGAAACGATTGATTGCTCGATGCATTTCTTTTCGTCTCAAATGACGACAATAATGATGAGATTGAGAGCAATCTGATCAAAAAACAACAACTATTACATTGAACCAACAACAGTATGAAGACGAGATGTGAATATAAAAATACGAATGAAAGTTGATTTGTGTAAAGATTGATGTCGAACTAAAACTTTTCAAACTGACTGCATGATACTTATAAGTTATCTTCAGTAAACAGACAGATATGTAGATCGAGGTTGTGATCAATAATGAATCATTGATGAGTGGCATAGCAGCGTTAAATTCGTCGTTGTGTGGTTAATGATGAGGTTATTCGAACAAATAACAAGCACAATGAAATGATATCTGCATAAATCATCAGTGAGTCGCTCGATTAACTCAATGCTTCAAATGATCATCGATGCAGTTCTGATCATAAATTAATGTTTCACTTTAGGTATACCCAAACATAATTCAGCAACACCAATATAATAAACCATTTGAGCGATACCGAACAACGGTGCCATTACCATCATACGACATGCCGCACCCTTGAAGAGCGCTTTAACGCCTTCCTGTTGCAGGATCTTGCTGCAATTTCATAAAAACCATGCTAAATAGATGTGATAGAAAAAACGATTAAACGAAAACTGAAATAAAACGAACATGAACGCGTCACCAATATTTCGATATTTGATCTCACCCACTCCAAGCCTTATTGTCTGCATTCGAGTCTTGATCACTAAAAACAAACAATCGAAATAATGCAATCAACAAGCAACATCACAAATCAACTATATTCCCCAAACAATCACCATCTAAAGGCGTCACAGAAAATGATGCTATCGCAGCAGCCGCTAGGCCAGCCATGAACGACGCGTAGAAGACCGCATCTCCACTGCCATCTTGAGATCGTGGACCCTGAAATAAATTATTCATGATTGAATAGTTCAGTAAAGTTGTGAGTAAATAGCATGAACAATGAAAACACCAACCAACGAGTCAAGGTATGCGAAGAGTGGGAAGTAGATGGTAGAGAAGGTGACGTCTCTAGCTAGCGTTGAACCGACACCCTTATATAAGCCAGCGATACCTTTCGTTCGTAATAAATCCAGCGTTAAGCCCATTGCGGTCATTCGTTTCTCACTCGCTTTTGCTGAAATAAATGAACAAATATGCGAACCCATTCATCGAAAAATTTGTCAACAAAACCAAGCACCGATAACTGACTTTGTGTACGACCAGCATCTTGCATTTGTATTTTCAGCAGTTCCATTGGTGTAGTGACAATAATTTGACAAAAACCAGCGCCAGCTCCAGCCAACATACCACGCCAAACGGACAAATCTTGTGGTAGTTGTCCAGGTGCGGACAAATGAAATCGGAAGAAGTCATTCGCAACCAGTTTAATCGCTTTTTCGGGCGTTATCAATAGTACATTCACACCGCATCCAGAATAGAGTCCACGAAATTTTGCGAACAATGAGGTGCCGCCACTACGCCAGGTTTGTTTAGCGCAATCAATTCTTAAATTTAATCGGATTTAACATACGAAGCAATATTAAAGCAATAATGCAAACAAACACAACAAAAAGCACTTACATGCCCGTATATTGCGGTTTTCCACTATGTGAGATCCTTTGATTCTGTAAGCGAGTTTTGACTAAATCAATCGGAAAAACACACGACACACCGATCATTCCCGCTAAACCACCGTTCAAAATTTTTGGTACATAACTGAAATATGCACTGAATAATTGAACGGTTGTTATTAAGAGAATCGGTTGACTGTATACACCACGATCGTTTCTAGATTGAGGTAAAGATGAATAAGGATGAGAAATATTACGCGAAATTTGTTGCTGAGGTATCATGGTGGATATTCGTTGCTGTTGTTGTTGATATGGCAGTCGTCATAATTGTTGCTTGATGAAGTAAGTATTTGTGTTAGTAGTAATAACAGTTGTACAATTCACGTTGTGCTCTCCTGTTCGACGAATGAGTTGTTCACTGAATATTAATTCATTTATCGATCCATTCCCAGTTGCTGACACTGATGATGGTGAAAAATGATTATTGTATTTGTAACTACTGGCGGCCGCAGTATACTATTACTATTCGTTTAATACTAGAATGGTCATAAGAAACGATTGACGCACGTAATGAGATGATAAGATAAGAGATAATCGCTAGAGAATAAGGATTTGGCATTTGATCCACGATTAGAATCAATCGAAAGCAACACCCGAAAGATGGAAAGAGGGGAAATATTAAGAAGGGAAATATGATGGACAGATAGTCGCTATGTAATGTCAACTTTCATCTACAATAACCGTCCGCTGTCCGCTTTCCTTCTTTAATAATATGATGAATAAAAATTACGTAATGCTAACATTCCATCGTAATTGTAAAACTCGAGTATTTTGACACTGATTAGACAATACAGGTGTGATCAATTTTCATTCAATTCTCCCATCAATATGTGATCACAAAACGATTTATTACCATCTCTCTCACTGAAATTTTCTTTTCCGTTGGTCTTTTCCAATGCATTTCACAACTTCGTTCTGTTGGTTTCAGAAATCAATGATAACATTTTTGTAGTCGTTTTGATGGTATAAAAAATAATTAACGAATAAACGAGCAAATGAATCAGTCAGTATTCAAGTATTCTTTTTTTCTAAAAAGTTGCAACTTTTTCTAAAAGTCTAAAAAACAAAAGATTCAACAGGCATTAAAACGTTGAAATTGATCATTTTAAGAATAACATTATTAATAATAATGAGAGACGTGCACTAACCAAAATTTGAAGACAATTTATTATATTATATTAAATTAGATAAGACGCGACGTTTGCGTTGTTACTGTTATTAATGCTACACCAAGAGTATTTTAGTGAATAGTTTTTAGTTGCATAAATCAATTCACCAAACAAAAATCAGTTCACTTCGATTTTGATTAAATTCATCGAACATAAACAATGAAGAAACAAGCGTTCATCAGCAAATTCATTTTGCTAACACTAAACAATAATAAATGCTTCATTCATTGCTTCATCACTTTCATTCTCATTCAGTCAATACTGACGTTTCGATGAAAATTACATACGTGTTATTATTATCATTCCGTTCAACTATTCCAATCCGCATACCCACAAATCACACCACGCTCACTTCAAACGATCATCATCATCACAAAAAATGTGAATCAAGCATCCTTTCGCCTACCTACTATTGAGAAATTAGTACGTGGGTGAATGATCAAATAATCGAATAATCAAATTTATAAATATGTGAATGAATGAATTTAGTTTCAATATAATAACAATAAAAATATCCAAAAACTATTTAATGTGAAGCAGCAGAAGACCTGACTGAATGAATGCCGCCGCTCATCGATTCGCTTATCTGTTGATTCACGAATATGAATAGGTATTTGTTCTATGAATATTCTACAAGGCATTCACTATGAAATAAACATATTCGAAGGATGGAATAAAAGTGCTGAAGAATGGTAAAAAATGGAAGAATTGAACTCAAATCAGTTAAACTAGTGAACGAAACACAGTCAGTTAGTCAAGTCTTCCTTCCGGACAAATAGAAATGAGATGGATGGATATGGAATCGTATGGGTTTGATAGGTTAAATCAGACATCTGATTATCGTCTGTCAATTTCCTATAACTGGTCAACGCATCAATCACTTTACAACTGAACACCTTATATAAGTAGTAAAAACGAATACGTAATCAAACAACAGCTTATAACACTGCAAACATCAAGAAAAGTGACTGTTGATTCGCGAAAGTGATCTAAGATATCAATATTGCAAGTGAATGGCTCAAAAGTTGATGGAAGATCGTTGTTAAGGATTCTTTTTAACATTCTTTTTGTCAATGACAGTAAGATGAGTTGAAAAAAATGAACGATTTATAAGGAATTTCATAGTAGCGATTGAATGAGGAATTTTTTATTTGTACAACACTTCACATGCACACAAGAAGTGTCAAGTGATAATAGGAAGAGAGAGGTGCACTAGGCTTTAATTATTCGAACAACAGTTCAGTGGAAATGTTCAATGTGCAGAGCTTCAGAAAGAATTCGCTCTATTATGTGTGGACAATTACGGCGGCACCTATATAGACAGCTGAACATAGTCAGTGTCGTCATCAAATGCCTTATGGCAAATTATTAGCGAAATTTTGTTGGAAAATTTCAAGATAACTGATGATAGATTTTTGAGATTGCCTAACAAAGCTTATTTACTACAAGCATTTAAAAAACATTGAATAACATGCGATAAAACACTACTCAAATATCTATTAATTGGGCAGTATTCTACAGAATTTTTTTTTGCTGTACTTCAAAAAACGACCTTGAAACAACTGCATCCAAGTACGAACTCTTCCCATAATTACAGAGTTTCAAACTGAATTTCGCAAGCCTGTCCTCATCCATTTTCCACATACACACACACGCACATTTGCCTCATTGAAATTCGCAACTTTCAATTCGACGAACAGTCCAAGGCAACTTTCCGCAAACGTTAAAAACCAAATAACTGATTGATAATATCACGCCAAATTGGTTCTTAATATCCCGCATACGTGCATGTATTGATCTACAGAGACAGTCATAAGAAGAAAAGATTTTAACAGCTGGCTCGTCTAAAGAAACATTACCTTCCATTCATCCAAAAAAAGAAGCATCGCAATGACAACTTGCAACCGAACATAAACCAAGAGAACTGATTGATATCAAAGCTCTGCTGTCAATGATTAATGCTGACGATGAAATTCGTGCACAATATTAACGTAGTATCATTTCTGTGAAATGAACTTGATATGATGATATAATCAATGATATGATTTACAGCTAAAAACATTTTAGCAGCAGCAGTAGCAGCATCAGCCCATGTGCCACGATAAGCGTTACTTTTTTTGTGTTATCACACCATTGTTTATCAACGAATACTACTAAAATTCAGCAACATTTGAAAAAGTAAAACAATAGATGAATTTAGCTAGTGATCATTCGTTTAACTGTTCATAACTGAAATGAATAAAATTAATGACCATAATTATGCGCATTTAATGCGCAACAGAATCACACCGTTGTTTATCAATGATATTTGAAACGATAAAAATATAAATATTTTTTGATATTTGTAAAATACGTACAACAATAATAACAACAATACTGATAACAACAACAACGATACTGCATTGGCATATCACTAAAATTCTTTTAAAGCACATTTCAGCCATCAACTTTCAAAGAAGCTAGATCAGTGTTCAACTGCTTTAGCCAGGCCTCATGTTTATTCATTTTTTTCAGCTTCTTTATTGCTTGATCTTGCATTACGTCGCTTTTTGGACATATCAATACCTTAATATTCATTTCGATATTACCACACTTCAACAACAATCATTATTATTAAAATAATCAATCGAAAAGATCGAAAGCATTATTTGGATTAACGCTACACCTGTGTTACTAAATAGTGCTTTCGGTCAGTTTGAGCGATGCAACGAATGCAAACCGACAAATGCTCAATACATAATCATCAAGCAATTATGTCGCATGCATGTACCGCATCAACATGTGCACGTTTCGGTTGCTTGGATATAATACACCGTGCGTTTTGTGATCGGTTTCGGTTTCCATAGAAATAGGATGGAAATTTAAAAAAGAACAGAAATGGAAATGAATAGGGATTTAAATTTTAAAAAAGTATAATTATAATAACCTCATTGATATCTTCATCACTTGAATGAACATAAATTCGTGGAAAATACTGACGCACTTGACGCTTTGCTATGGCCGAAACGTCAGCATCTCTTGTTACCAAATTTAACGCCATCACTCCTTATCGTTCATTTATTATCAGTTTTATCAGTTAAACAAATATTTATCAATGAATAAATGTCAGTTATCAGTTGAATATTATTACTAATTCATATTTTTTTATTTTTATCACTTAACGCCGTGCTAATTTACTATCACTTAAAAAGAAATGAACAAGCGATTAAAACGACTACTAACCATTGTCCGAAAGTATTTCAGACATTCCACTCAATGCCGTATCACTTAAAAATTCTCGCGGTGGACAGCTTAAATCCGGCTCGTGAACGGCGCCAGCTAAATCGACCAATAGCACGTCGAAAGGCTCCATTTTGTGCGCTGAACTCTTTGCTAATGTCAGCGACGAACGGTGATAATAACAAGTAACGCGAACCAACAAAAAACTCACCTTTAACATCTTCTTTAGTCTGATCCAAAAAATGAAGTGCATCATCGATCACGACCAATAAACGTTTATTATTTTCTGTTGATGGGAGTGCGAACCAACGATTCGCAATCTTCAGCACCTCTTCATCGAGTTCAACTGCCGTTATCGACGCCTTACAAACAAATTACAATAATGCTGATAGCAATCAACAGAATTATTAATATTGTTTTATACCTTCGTAAAATGTCGATACAAAAATGACACAAGTAAACCTCCACCAAGACCAAGAACAGCAATCCTGAATGATCACACCATTATGTTTATCTTTATCGATCGATTGATAAAGATTGTTATCCATCTTCGTCTTGATGAATGTTTCCGAATAACTGACTGCTTCATACACACGAACATTACCTGAGCCGTTGTTGGTCACAAGAAGCCTTCTTGTCAGCATCAATGAATGCAAACGCAGTTAGCATCGCTTCATGATGAGCACATGAAAGTGAATCCAAATCAACCATCCATCCACCACTTGTTTTGTTGGCTGTAATCAATCAAATAGCAATGCTGCTTTAAGTCTGAATTATTATCACTTCAATTGATTACGAACCGATCAGTTTACATTCTGACTGAATCACATTTTTGGATGTGAGGAAAACGAGTCGTCGATAACGCGAGCCCGCATCACCCAAATTAACATCTTCAACACTCCATTCGCCACTTATTTTTGATTGCCCTCTCGATAACTCTTTCAATACATTCACTTTGCCAAGCGATAAATAATCGATTCGACTCTGAACACGTCATATATCACCAATATTGCTAATGATAACAACAATAATTAATGATGATTTAACGATAAAACGAACATTCTTAAGCTGAGGAGGTGCAAATTTGAGAATAATATCATTTAAATCGTTTTGAATCATCTCTAAATTGTCGTAGATTTGATCACGAAACAACAAAACAACAGCCAAACGTGACTTATCACACTGTTTACGCAGCTGCATTCTGCCTTTCTCAGTACAAAACAGCCACTCATCCTCTCTGAAGTTGAACAATCAATATTACAAAACTGAATCAACAACACAATGAATAATAACACAACCAACCTTCCAAGTGGCACGATGAATGCTGCATATGAAGCGAATTTACTGCGCGATGTACAATTCATTTCCTGATCATCAATCAGCCATATCTCATATTTGTCTTTACCATTTTGACCATCAACCAAACGGATGTTGATTTCATTCGTCAGTTTCCTGAATATTGTTACTGATAATCAGAGAATTGCGCAAATTGTGCAAATGTATAGTAAAAAGTGAATAAATAAATAACAAAGGATGGATGATCAATAACCTTCTACATAAATGACAAAAATGTGCAAATTCTTGCACAGCCATGATTTCGTCACAAACCGATTTGATGCTTGTAAAACGCTCGGCTTTATCTTTATTATTTCTCACTAATTCAATCATCTCAAAATTAAATTTATATATGCATTGAAACTTATCACCATCTATTGTATACATTCACATATGCATTAAATGGTAATAACAATAATAATAATGATAGTAATAATAATAATAATATAGCAATAAAACAATAAAAATCACAACTTTTGTCGGAAGTTGGAAGCGAAGTTTAGTGGCAATCAAGAAAACGACGGGCATAAAGAAGGTATTTGTTGAATCGTTCTTCTGCTCAACAATTTGAATACGAATCATAAAACCCCTGCATAGAAACGGAATAAAATCAGCATCAAAGATTACAACACTAAAAATTTGTTATTCTGATAACAACAGCAATATCGAAAAAGACAGACTATGTATCAACGGAAAATGTAATAACAAATCACCTTGTTGAGAAGTAATACAAAAAATGATGAAGAATGTGTGATTGTGCTAACGAAACAACAATATAACGACCAGCATTGTTCACTAGAACCCGTGAGATTTCATCGAATATCAACTGGATGTTGTTGTTAGTTTGGATAATATTACTCAACTCATCATCACTTTTCAACGGCAATTCTTTTTCGGGTGGTGGCAAAATAGCATCCAAAAAGCCTTTATCCAATACAACGTTCATACTTCCATCTGTGAATGGTAACTGCAAATATTTCACTTCGCTTACATTCCAAAATATCTATCGTTAATATATTATAGTTATCATCGACTAAATATATAATAATACCAACAAGAACATGAAATTAAAAGTGACCTGTTCAGCTGAAGCACACTGAAATGAAAGTGTTGCCCTCCCCTTACAATTCTCTGCAACTTGCTTCTCTATCGAACTCTTATCCGTATCGATATTCCATAAGTTTTGGTAACCATTATCATACAACTGAAAGTTATGACAATAATGATAACAACGGAATATGGAATGGAATGCAAATTCACCTCAGTCGCAAGTTTAGAGTTACCGCAACCAATTTGTAGTATGTGATCGGACGGCTTCAGATAACGCTCTAAAACATCGCCCAGATCGTTGAAATCACCATACCTTCAAATAATAATGACATTCAAAGCTGTACCGATGATTATGTAACGCATGATCGTCACTCTCTGTTCATTTAAGGTGATCCATTGCTTCTGGGAAGCTCGCCACCAGCAAGCTCGCCTTTCAGCAACATCCAACCTCAACAAAACTCAACAATCACTAATCAAAAACAAACCATTCAAAGGGCGCCACATGTTGCCGGTAAAAACTTTCCCAGAAATCTGTGTTCGCAAACGATTTGACAGACGACGGCAGCAAAGGCATAACGAAATGTTGCTGCTATTATTATTATTATTATTATTATTATTATTATTATCACCATCATTATTATTACCACTTGTCTGATACTAACTTGTCCGCTTGACTCTTTCAATGCTCACATTCACTGCATTCAATCTATTGCTTTCCAGAAATCAATCTAATCACCTTTATTTAATGATTATCATCAATGTTACGTAAGTTAATATCAACACTACACACATACACGTATATATTCATACTTAACGTTCCAACTCCGAAACTACTGTCATTATTACAACTGATATCACTTCACTAGTATCATGCATTACATTATTATCTACCACCATCACTGTTTCAAACTAAATAATAAGATTTGTTACAAGATATCAAAAAATACAATGAATCGACACATATCTTCACACATCACAATCTGTTCAATGAATTGTTTACTTTTGTGAAAGTTAGTTGATTTGGTTTACGTAACTAGTAATATCAATCAATCAATCATTAATAATAATAAATAGATATTTAGATACAAGACAAACAACATGATAATAATAACAATGACAAGAACGATAATAACAACAGTAATAATAGTGAGAACAATAATAATAACAGTAATAATGACAATAATATTATTACAATAACAATAGTAAAGAATTAATAATTGACGTCTCGTTCCACAAAAGCCTTTTGCAATGCAATAATCTAATCTGTATTAGAAATGAATGAATAATCTGGCTGATGACAACAATCCAATAACAATAATAATCATGATAATAATGATTGATAACGATGATAATAAATAATAACAGCAAAAAATCCTCGGATAATCGAATAATTAATAATTTCACTCAACAGTTCCTCAGTTTTTAGCACGACAGTAAAGTAACATGGACAGATAAAAATATCAAAAGAGCATTACCCGCTTAATAGAACAGAAAAAATTCAGATCAAAATAACAACACAATTAAATTAAAATCAGCAATTAGTATGACTGAATAATAGAAATTTAACGATGAATTTTAATAATAATACTAATGAAATTCAACAAATTAACAGCAGAACACTACAAATTTTATGAACAATCCTTAGATTTAAAAAAATTATGAACAATTAAATAATTGAAAAAAATGGAAAAAAATAAAAGCGACAAAAATCAAACACAAAACTGCTGATAGCTATTGATTGTGTTCAGCACGTGCTGTTTGTATGTTCGCGATAAACCCGCTTGCCAAAAACGAAGCACTGACGCATCCTCAAATTCATTATCCAAGTGATGAGAATTATAATTTATAATAGTAATAGTAGTAATCATGATAATAATAATAATAATAATAATAATAATAATAATAATAATAATAACAATAATAATATGTCATAGAAAAACCAACATTTTGAGAGCATTTTACGATACGAATCACCTTGGTCAGGTCAATACCTTCCTTCTGACGACTCAGCTCGTAGATAAGTTTTGATTTACTCAACCACTGTTCTCGAGTATTCTTTAACACTGCTTCCAGCACACGATTACCAAGCTCATTATCTTAATCGGACTAATTTAACATTATAATAATAACAATTAACAGTCATTATTACACTTCAATTTGCTACAAAATTTTCGGTGGATATGAAGTAATGATGAAGCAAATTTCAGACTATCTCTGAATACAGATGATAATAAATAATAACCAAGTAATAATTGCTTATAGCGTTGAACAATGGTTGGCGTTGCTTCATTTGGGAGCAAAGTGGATGGTGCGGAAAGTTGCAAAATGCGACAACGATAAAAATTTTTTTGTGCGATGGCAGATGAAGATTTATTGTTATTGTTATTATTATTATTATTATTAATAGATGGACGGTCCGAGAGCGGTAACGATGAGATGGCCGATGTCTCATAAGGTGGAATATTATTCATTAACTCGTCAGACTGAAATCTTTGATTGAGGATCAAATTCGCTATGAACCAGTTTAACTTATAAATTGTTTTCTCAGATTAATGAACTCATAGCACATTGTTGATTAATGAATTCATGAACGCACTAAAAATGAAAAAAACAATGACAATATTTCGAAAACAACACAATAATAGTAATAATAATGTTATTAACATTAAACATACATAATTCATGGTATTCTCAATGAAAGAAGCCGATGAATGTGGTAACGATGAATGAACATCGTCAAATGAATCGAATGCAAATGATTTACTCGATACTGCTGATAGTTCAACACTTTCATCGATGTCCACACATAACACAACTATCTGATCACTCACATCATTTGGAATTTCTAATGACATTGGGCACCCAAGCAAATTATATCTGAATTGTTTGCTGCATTAACATTCATAAGTGATAACTATAACAATAATATCGTGTACGTTTAACATCGATTATCAAATTAATATAGCAATAACACGTTTAACATTGCAAACAATAAATGCGAAAGTACCTGAAAACGTGCTCATATGACTCCGAATACGTGATATGAACACAACCAATGGGTAATAAGTAAGCAAATGCCGTTAGAACTTGTCTCGCTAAACAACGATCATCACACTGCACTACTAACTGCAACAAAAAGATGAAATACGTATGAAATACTAATCGAAAATGATGAATAAGTGAATAAATACCTGTCCGCCAGTCACCAATTGTTTTAGGATGATATCGAGTGCATTTGGAAAGTGTTTACCGAGAGCGTGAATTTTTTGTGAAATCGATTGTAAATAGTCGACTTGTTCCAGTGGATCAATTCCATAATCATTTATTGGTGTAGAATTTGAGTTGGTAAATGAACAGTAACAGTTCACGTTATCAACAGCCATTTGATCATCATTCAAATTCAGCACTTCACCACCATCACCGATAGCTGCCGCACCATAATCGAAACTCCTTTCAAGTTCGAATTGAACCAACGCATCTTGAGTGGGTACACCTTCCAAAACACTTTCCGTGCATAAACGTGCTTGTGTCCTTAACACATATGTCATCTGCCTGAAATGAAGAAATTGAATAAAATTATTTTCATCATCATACGACATCAACCAGTTGAAATAAAAAATTACTTATGTAATTTGGTGAATATATTTGGATTAGCAGTTATCAAAGCTAGACTTCGAGAAGTGTCCAAATCGAGCTTTGTGACACGATTGCGCATGAAATGTGCTGGAAGTAACGACGCTCTTGAGGCTTGTTTGATACATTCATTCGCTAAATCACCCAATTCACTCTGCTCCATTACGAACACATCATCGGCTCGTTCCTCAAACCAAATATTGTTTACTATCACCAGCCAACACTCCAATCAATACAAATACTACCTGCAGTTGATGAATTATCGCTGACAAAGATGAAACAAAAAATTCGTAATTGTTCGTGATTAATAATTTATCCATACAAATCACAATCAATGAGAACCAACGTTGGAAACCACGTGCTTTTGCATCACGTAATCTACAAGACAATAGTAATGTCATAATCATTAACATATTCAAAATGAAATTGCAAGCAACAGAACATCAGCACACCTGAATGTATGTGAGAGGGTGTAGCCGTGATCATCATCACCGAACAAGATGACACCATCATCATTATCCGATTCCATTAAACCTGTGTCGAACGTATTCGTAGTGGTTGTATTATTGATCGCACTTCTGTTGATAGTCAAAGACTTTGATGAAGTTGGCAATGGTATTTTCTGTGATTTCGTTGTTGTTGTTGTTGATGTTGCTGCTCTTGGAGTGCTGTTCGATCTGAACGGCACTGCTTTCGCTGATACTTCACAACTCAACGAACGTAAACACGCGTGCTTCACCAACTGATAAACGCGATCGTTAATCGCTACCTTAACATTACCATTATATTATCATAATTTCATTATGAAACATTAGTCTGATACATACAATTCGTATAACGAACTGATTAAATAATCACGGTCATACATTAGGAAAATAATAAATTAAAGAAAGCCGAATGAAACGAAAATCTTCATGCTCATACTTGTGAACTGATATAACTGATACCAGCATCGAGGTCAGTTGTAACCAGACCCGAGCCAGCACAGAATGACGAACATGCTGCACAACGACTTTCATCATCGTGAATTTCATTCACTAAACGCCCATCGTGATATGTTGTTGTTTGACTGTCTAGAATTATTCATTAAGTTGTTTTGTTGTTGCTTATATTTTACTACTTGTTTCAGGTAATCAACTAACAAACAACACGGTTTCACTTAAACAAAAAAGAACCTGGTAAAATGAATGAATCTGATACAGAACAAGATGGAGCATTGCATGTGCAGTTGGACTGTTGCGTTAAATCACGCATTGACTGCGTAGTCATCACGACGCGAGGTCCATGGTTCTCACAAAAATGACATAAAGCCATCACCGTTTGCATTGTGACAGTTGTTTGTTTAGGGATAATTGTGAACGGCAAGTTATAGAAGTCGTTTGGTGAAGTATAATTCGGCGATCGATTAAACGAGATTAAAGTGGTATGCACTGATCATGCTTTTGTTCACTTAGAAACTGAAAAATGATCCGGTAAAGGCTCACACTTTGAATGAATCAGGTTTATTAAGACCCTGACTTCAGCATTCTGGAGTTCAGACACAGATTTACGTTTGAAATTATCCTCAGTTCCTTATGAGAAAAAATTAAAATCGTCTTCTATGACTAAAGTGCAACTGACAAAAATCCGAGAAGCGGCACAAATTAAATTCCGAAAGGTCGCATTATGAGTCAAGACAAGTTTCGGTTAAAATTTGAGCTATAAGTTGTGTTGCTTGATTGCAACGAAGACATGAAACATCAAAAATTACAAAAGTTGAGCATCACTCCATGTGAAGAGCAAGTTTAACGGTTCAAATGAAACAAACTGAAGGAAAAAAATAAAACAAAATGAAAATTCACTTTGACGATTGTAATGACAAAACCATGCGAAAACAGTGTTGCAGATTGGATTGTTGTTGCTGTTATCACTCACTCTTCACGGTCCCATGCCTACCGCATTCGTTAACGAACAGCCACCAACATTTTACTAAAACACTGAATATTCATTTTGGACATAGATAAGCGGCAAGCTTTGCTCGTGAGAATTTCTCATCACAAAAATTGATGCGTTTCGTCGATAACTCAGCAAGAGACTGGACAGATTCAAGCAAGCATCACGCCACAAAGGTTGGGGCAACAGAAGCCAAAATGCACATTTATACGTGCGCGCGTCCGAATGTTGAAAGATGAGAGAACGAGAGGAAAACGATTTGAAGATGTGCATAAAACGAACACAATGAATGTATTCGTGAAAGCTAATAACGAGAAATTGTCATCGCGACTGATTCCAAATTCAATTCTCTACAAATTGAGAAAGTTTCAAGAGGATTCATCGTGTCATTTTCGAAATAATAACCTGAAATGAATCCTCAGTATGCAAAATATTGCTCGTGCGAGCGATTGAAATGGAAAAACCGCTGGAACAGAAATTCCATTTGGGATGCCAAGTAGTACGTCGGATAGAGAATTCAATTATATACAAACCAGCAAGTTTTTAGAAAAATTAAACGTTTGGTTTCTGAAATTGTAACCTGAAATGAATCCTCGGTGTGCAAAATATTGCTCTCGCGAGCGATTGTAACGTGGAAAGTGCCGGAACAGAAATTCCATCGGCCAACGCCAAATAGTACATCGGAAAACGATCTAAATCATTCGAAAAGCGATTATTGCTTTTGTGAGTTGATTTTGAAATGTGGATGGTTAGTCGGAATTTCGTCCCTTTCGTTCGGAATGTCACTAGAAGTCAATAAACTTTGAATTGCATTCACAGCCGCCGAATTCACTTGTTGTGTTTCTATCAGCAAAAATGCTGCTCTATACTGAGATTTTCATAAGAATGATTGAACATTTATACTAGTACTGAAAAATTTACTATGTTTGTAACTGATGTCGCCATTGGGGCTTCGTCGATCACGTTTCTGTAGGGTTTGGTTTCAGGGCAGGAAAGGAGTTGCATAAAAGTTTTTAAAGAATCATTCAACAGGTTAGCTGTGTACTCAACGCACCTGTGAAATGCCCAATAGGGGCGCGAAATGACACCCAGTATCGTTTCTCAGCAGCATTGTAGGTCGTTGTGGAAATTGACCAACAAGCATCTGCAATTTCGGGTGCAGTCAGAACCATATGGATTGCAGGTCTATAATCTGCCTACTTTGTTGATAAGAAAGAGTGTTCTCCGTATATGAGTAACGGCTCTCTTCGAGGCCAACTGGTCATCTTTGGTGGCGGCACCCATGAAAGGGGAGGCTCGGGTATACTCTCTAGCGTCAAGTTCCACACAGAAGTGATGTGATCCGAAAAATTTTTCACTGCAAATTCAGTGTGAGGTTAGGCTTAAATTCAAATGCAGTGCAACCAACCGTGTGGAAGAAATGGCAGCATGACTATTCGTCGGATCCATTGCCGAATGACGCCTTCTTGATTGTAGAACATCATTAGGCCATGTTTTCTGACATTCCTCATCACTGCGTGCGTGAAATGGAATAAGCATCCCTTCACTACATCATTGCCGAACACCTCCATGACGGACTTAATGAGAGGTTCTTCAAAATCTGTTAAAGTTTTTCCAATGGTATCCCTAACTCCTATATCAGTCCAGCGCCGTCGCACGGCAGCAAAAGTCGCAGTGTAAGACTCAGTGTTTTTGTTTTTCATGATAACGTGGATAACAGGCATCCCCTCATAGCCTGTATCGTTGGCGATCTGCAAAGTAAACTCTGATGTATATTATGAACAAATCGCTCAATTATGAACAACTGTGAACCATAGCGACCTGCCAGCCTACATCTAGTGGTGAGGTTTCAAAATCGATACGTGAACTTTACCATGCAGTGGACAGTGAACATCTGACTGAAGTTGCGTGGTGCACTGCTGAAGGTTGCATTAGCTACTAGAACAGCCGAACGGGCAGTCGCACGCAGTTCGAGGTCAGTTGAGAAGGCTCACACCCTGTTTCCACAAATCCCATCTCGATGAAATGTGCAGCGGTCATGGGTGTCACACACATCATTTTCAAGGAAAATTTATCCTCATACGCATCAGTTTCATTGTATATCTTATACGACACGACCTTTGATCCATAAGCAGTATAGATGTTATCGGACGGTAATTTCAATTTCTCGAGATTCACCATCCTATGCAAATTGCATCCTGAACTATGCTATCGCATTGTTGTCACTAGTGGGTATTAGAAAGGTCATGCTCAAGAGATCTGTATCTTCAGATCTCATCAATATAATGATAATTAAATCTAATAATATTGCAGAACATGGTTTACACGAATGAATTAGAACACGAACTCTAGTTCATAAAATTACATAAATTATCTGACCTGAAATTATGTTATACGACATTTAAAAAATACAATTCGCAATAAATTTTAAGAAAACTTTAATTTCCTCAGATTTGCCCAGTAACATGTCAATTTCTTCATATCATCGCATTCTTCAGGTCCTCCAGATTCACAAAAGAATGTATATTGTTGGGC